CCCCCCGAGGGGACGGCTGCGGCGCATGCGCGTCTCGTCCCTTGCACCTGGACAGAGGGAGGGAGCGCGGGGGACACGGGACGGACACAGGGGACACGGGGACACACAGAGCCCGGGACAGACACGGAATACACAGGGACCCTGGGACAGACACGGGACACACAGGACGTGGGGACGGACAGGACAGGGAGACTCCGGGACGGACGCAAGACACGTACAATGACCCCGGGATGGACATGGGCTGGGACAGGACACGGGGACGGACACGGGGACGGATGCAGGGACTCCAGGATGGACACAGGACACGCGCAGGGACCCCGGGATGGACATGGGGACTCCGGGATGGAGATGAGACACACGCAGGGACTCCCGGAAGGACATGGGGTCAGACAACGGGACACACGCAGGGACCCCAGGATGGACGCAGGGACCCCAGGATGGACACGGGGACCCCAGGACGGACAGTGGGACAGACAGGACACGGGGACACACATGGGAACACACAGACATGGGCACAAGGAGGGACACACGGACACATGGACAGACATAGGGACACGCACACACACAGGGACAGACATAGGGACCAACCTAGGGACACAGACACACAGGGAGCTGCACATGGGTGCAGGGACAGACACATGGACACAGGGACAGATTCTCCTGCCCCGGGGCACAGCTGGACACGCAGCCCCCAAGAACCAGGCGGCTCCGGTGCCTTTCCCAAGGGTCAGGTTTATTGGCCGGGAGCCGCCACGGCCCCCTCGGATCTGGCATCCCCCTTCCTTAAAATCCACCTTAAAATCCATCCCGAGCTCCAGGCCACTACGTGAATCCCTGGAGGACCCGGGGGCTGGTCCCTGCACGGAGGCTCCGCTGGGAAGGTGGAGCAGGGCTGGCGGTGACAGAACGGCTGGAGCGGGAGCAGCGGGACAGCTTTTCCCGGAGGGATCGGACAGCTTTTCCCTGCTTCCCAGGGGAGCAGCCATTCAAGGCACTTGGCTCCCACAGTCCTCGCAGCTCTGCTCCGGTTTGGGGTAGAACGGCTCCTTTTGGAGCTTCTGCGGCTCCAGCTGCTCCCTTTCCCCCTATTTTGGCTGCTTCCCGATCCCTGCGATCCGCTGCAGCCCTTATCCCTCCTCCCGGTTCCCGCCGTGCCCCCAGTCCGCCCATGGGGGAGGTTTGCTCCGTATCCCTCTTGCTTTTCACTGCGGGATATTCCCATATTCCCTCTAGCCTTATAACAGGGAAGCAGGAACGGTCTCTCCCGCCGGGAGGTTCCAGGGGGACACGGAGCCGCTCTGGCCCCAAGCGGCCTCAGGGCGGATCGGGGCCGGGCTGGATCCGAAGGCAGACGGTGCCGCCGCTCTTCACCGGCCGCTCAAGGCGGGCAGCGTTTCCAACCGGGAATGCCAAGAGGCGGTTCCAGGATGCGAGAGCCAAGGATTTGCCACCAGGATCCCAGTGGATTCCAGGATCCCAGAGGGGGCTGCGGCCCCCTCGCTGGTGACAGTAGTGTTGGGAATGCCAAGGGAAGCGGGTCCAGCTTCTCCTGCTGCCGCTTTGGGACAAAGCCCCGCGCTCCGCCTGGAGCGGAGTCCCAACAGGAGGCTCTGGCCTCTTCCCGGCCCTTTCAGGGATTCGGGATGCGCAAATCAATCCCCACTGGGAATGGGGGGGAAGCTGCACACAGGTCTCTGGGACATCCCTGAACGCGTGCGGCTGCGCTCCCCGGTGCTGAATCCCATCGCTCCTCTTTCCCAGCATCCCCAAAGTTGAGAAAAAGGTGGCTTGAGGCAGCACGAAGGGATATCCGTAAAGGGATAAGTCAGCTCCAGTGCAGGAACGCCGCTCCCGAAGCGTCCCACTGCGGGGGCCAAAACCGCTAGTGTGAAATCAAACCGTGTCCATCCCCATTCCCGCCCGGGGTTGCATCCCGCCGCTCCGGGAAGCGGGGCTGACTTATCCCTTGGGCCGCGGCTGCCGCAGGGCCGCGCCGGAGTCAGGAGATCTCGTTGCCGAAGACCTCGAGCACGAGCGGCGTGAGCTGCATGCTGTGCTCGGGCTGCACGGAGATGCAGCGGTACTGCTTGGAGTGCTCCTCGTTGAGGCTCCGCAGGTCCGCCAGCTTCTGGATCATCTTGGCGTAGAGCAGCCGGCTGCCCGGCGGCGGGTGCCGGCAGCGGATGTAGGTCTGCAGGATGTCCGAGAGGCGATCCTGGAGCGATTCCACCAGCGCCGTGTCCTGCACGCCGGGGCGATCTAGGGAAGAGCAGCGCCGTCAGCTCCGACACGGAGCGAGGCCTTTGGAGCGGGAACGGGGCGCTTTGGAGCGCCTTCACGGAGCGAAAACCTGGCGGATCCGTGAGCCGCGGGCAGGAGGGATGTCCTACCTGGGGACAGGATGCAGATGGCCATGAGGAGCACGTGCTCTTCGTCGTGAAGGTTCAGCTTCTTCAGGCCCACCTGGAATTTCACCAGCGGCTCCAGCAGCTCCATGCTATGGCCGGCTGCAAGGAGAACGGCGCCGTCAGCGCGGGAAGCTCCGGGATGAGATCTCGGAGCGAGCGCAGAGCGGGATGCGCGCGCGGGGCTCAGGGGTACCCGGTGGCACCGGGAGGGCAGCGCCAGCACCGTTACCTTGGGTGACGTCGCTGACCCGGTACTTGAAGTCGTTGCTGCCGCAGGTCCACGTCATGTCCTCGAGGCTGAAGGACTCGTTGGAGCGCAGCATGATCACCTCGATGGCGCTGGATTTCAGCAGCGCGATCTGGTCCTCCGCTGTCAGATCCCTGGATCGGGAGGGAACAGGATGCCATGAGAGGGCCCGAGTTAAGCAGGGTCCACGGTTCTTCCTGGGCATCTTGAGCATCTTTTTTTCTGGAGTGTTTTGCTGCCAGAGCCCAGCAGAGCAAGGCTAAAGATGCACAAGAAGAGCAACCTTGGGAGCGAATGGAGAGAGAAAACGTGGAAGGAGCAACGGAGATGGGAATGGAAGAGCCCAGCGGGTCACTGTGAAGATGAGAGGGGGAAAAGCGAGGAGGCTGTGAAGGATGGGACGGAAAGGCATCAATTCCAGGGAGCAGGAAGCCGCCCCAGCATCCCTGTGCGCGGGAGGCTCACCTGAATCCCGGGATCATCTTGGCAAAGCCGATCACCTTCTGTATGCTGTAGCTGACCAGGTCTGCCAGGTGCGGGAGCATGGAGAGCTGCGAGAAGTCCATGTTCATGGAGCTGCTCTCGTCGCTCTTCTCGGAGAGCACCAGGTTCGAGAACATCGGGGGCTCCACGGACTCTGCGGAGAGGGACACGGTCACGTCACAGGGTGCCGGGAAGGATCCTGGCATCGCGCTCCTGGGCACGGACGCCCTCGTTCCCGGGTGTGTTGGGAATGGGGCTCCGTGGGGTTGGATACGGCACACCGAGGTCAATGGGGACAGCACTCAGTGCTCCTTCACCTCGCAAACAGCCCTCCAGCCTCCCCAGGCAGCTCTTGCAATTAAATAAATTATCCCAGGGAAGAAAAACAAGCATCTAAATGGAGATAAACCCGCTGCCCTCGTAGGCAGTACCTGGAAACGCGCTGAAGGCGTCGGAGCCGAAGAGGTCGGTGGAGTCCTCCAAGGACAAGTCCGGGGTGAGGATGGAGGAGGACCTGGCGGCTCCCCTGCTGCCGGGGTCGCTCCGCACGGGCGGCTGGAAGAGAGAGCGGGATGTGGGGACGGAGCCGGGACAGCGATCCCGAAACAGCCCCGGTGCCGTCGTTGAATCTAGCGAGAAATCCGGGGCGCCAAGGGGCATCCGGGAGCGGAGCCGCTGGGATGCGGGAAGGGTTTCCGTACCCGGAACTTGGTGAAGTCGGAGTACGTGGGGTCGTAGGTCTTGCGATGGGCCTCCAGGAGGAGGTCGATGACTTTCTGCTGCTCCTCGGAGAGTTTGGGCTTGAGGCTCTCCTTGAGCGCCTCCTCCTCCTTGCGCTTCAGGATCATCTCGCGCTTCCTCTGCACCTCCTCGTCCGTCAGGATGACTGCGGGAGAAGGGACAAGCGTCACAAATGGATAATCCAGCCTTAAGTCTGCAGGAACTCGCCCCGTCGCAAACCGCGCGCTGGCGTTTTCACAGCGCGGCGGCATTTTCAGCGCCCGACAACAGAGGGAGCCCGAAGCGGCCGCGTCGTCCCCAGTGCGGTGACAGGGACGGACGGGCCCTTGGCGGGTGGCGCTTCCCCAGCCCTGCTCATTGCAAGTGTTTCTAAGCTATGGTGACACCAGAGCTGCTGCGCACACATAAATACTGCTTGGATTCCGGGTGGCCCGAAGGCAGCGTGCAACGTTTCTCCCCGTTTCCTTTGGGAAGGGAAGCCCCCACTGGCAATTTCCAGTTGCAAAAAGCATTAAGACATGGGTAGGACAAGGAGGAAGATCCCGAATTCATGCCTGGCGGGATGGGAATGGAAGGAAAGCGGCCGCAAGCCGCAAGGATCTTGACCCCATAGAGGGTAACAACCACCTCCTGCTCCCTGCAGAGTCAAACATTCACCAAGGCGCTCCCGGGCCAGTAAAGCAAAAAAGCAGCTCCTAAAATAGCTTGTTATTATTATTATTATTAGTGTTTTAACCAGTCATTAGCAAAAAAAAAAAAACCAAACTCCAGAGCTTTATCTGATGGCGGCCGGGGTGGCCGCTCCGAGGAGCTCCCGGCAGCGCTCCGTGCCCGCAGCGATTTTCCAATGCATTTGGAAGCTTGCATGGGCTCCAGGAGGATGGGAAGGGCCGGGAATGGCCGGCTCGGGCAGAACGTTGCTCCCGCGCTCGGCGTGTCCGGATTAGCCCTCTGGGAATTGCGCGATCCCTCCTGGGAGCCCGTTGCCTCCCTTCCCTGCCTTAGGAAGGGCCACTTCCTTGGGGAAGCAGAGGAGAAGCGGAACCGCCGGCTCTGCTCTGCGCTTCCAAGGGCCACGGATCAGGATTTATCTTTTTGCTTTGGAACAGCAGCCCCAGGGTAGCCAAGGGGAGACCGTTCCCTGTCCCGGCACAATCTAAACCCCAAAACCCCATAAACGCCATGGGAAAAGGGCAGCCCGGGGCCAGGAAAAAGGAAAACGGCTCCGGAAAGCGGATGGAGGAGCATTTCCAGCCACGCCAGCGCCCCCGCCTTATCGCCCGCCGTGCGGCCCCGCTGTCTCGCCCTGCGCTTTACCCCACGCCGATAAGACGGGTGGAAAACCACAAATATTTGCTAACGTCGCCTGCGGACGGCTCGGGATGAGCGTGCGGCCGGGGAATGGGCTATAAATCAGAATCCGTCCCTCGGCGTCACCACTCCCGGCGTGCCCAGGACGGAGAGAGGGATGGGAATGTTCCCCCGGGAGCGCTCGGCTCGGCTCCATTGCTGCAGCTCCGTTTTGGGAAGCGAGCAGGGGCCATAGGGATGTGGGCTGTGAGCGGAGCCGCGTGGCCAAAAAACCCCTTGAGATCAACCAAATCACCACCAAATCAACCCCTTGGCCAGGTTTTGCCCTCATCCTGGGTGTGCCCATCTCGCTCTGTCATTTTGCCTCTGCATCCCATCCCCACCGGAGGAAAACCGGCTGGAAAACAGTGCCCATCCGGCAAAGGCAGCTCGGAGGAGACACCGTGTCCCCCCCAGGTTTAAAGGTTCCTCCTCAAAATAACAGCCCCGCACTTTGTTCCCGCGCCGTTTGCACGGCAAAGTCCACGCAGGGGCTATTTTTAGCCTCCCCGGGTTAAGCGCAATTAAAAGAGCAACACGTCGTTAACCGGGGCGCTTACACGTTAACTCCCGCCCGGAGCCGCCGCATCCGCAGGCGGGATGGGGACGGGATGCGCGTCGCGGCACACGCAGAGAGGGATTTTGCAAAGACCCGGGTTTGCAGCAAGCGCCGCTTCCATTTTCCAAACCGGGTGCAACTTTTGAAGCCCGTGGGTCCCAGGAGCAGCTGCCGTGTTTGCAGTTTCCTAGCACAAGGCTGTTATTTTGGTCTGGGCGCTACGCAAGCGCCAGGCCTCTCCTAAAGCCCTGGGATGTGGAAAGAGCGTGTGCGTAGGAGGAAGAGTGTCAAACATGTTATTTTTAAGAGCTGCTTGTCTATAAATATCATTGAAGAAAATAAATATTTGGACAAGGTTAGTGTGTTTGGATTGGGTTAAAATCTACTTTGCTTTCCTCTGCTATTTGCTCAAGTCCCGGCCGTGCACGTGGCCAGGTGGCCAAGCTCACGTTGTGGGAACAAGGATCCAAAATAAAGGCTAAAAGCATAGCCCGGAGCAAGGTGTAGGCAAACTCCCTGTTTGGGGGAATTAACATAGCACGGCGGGTTGGTAGCAGGGAGAATCCCACTCAAGGAAGAGCACGCAAAAATATGCTGCAAAAAGATGGTGACTTAGAGCAGAATTCGGGCCATCTAAGCGGATATTAAGCTGGAATAGCCCTGACTGCCCGCACAGATGCTCAACACCCGCCAGCACAGAATTCTGGTCACAGAATCATTCCAGTTGGAAAAGACCTTTGAGACGATCCAGTCCAACTGTAAAATTTGGTAATTTGGCTCTCACACAGGCCAGCTCGTTAACCGCCCCGGGAACGGCCTCACTCATTAAATTGGCTCCTCTTAATCATTCCCAGGAGCATCCCTGCCCTTGGCGCACTCACACTCCTTCATCATGCCGATGTCCACGCAGCGCTTGAGCCGGCAGGCCTGGCAGTGCCGCCGGTTGTCCTTGGTGATTTTGCAGTCCCCGTTGAAGGGACACGTGAACATGGCCTTCCTCTTCATGCTCCTCCTGCAGGGAAAGGGAAAAGGACACGCGGGTTAGGCACCAGCCTCCTGAGCAGCCAAAAAGTGCTCTGAATGGTGGCGGGAGGCACCAATGCAAGTGTCGGCTGTTCCAAAAGGAAAAGCAGGAAACCTGCACCACGTTGCGTGTAGCCACGGGTCCGTTCTTAGAGGTTTGGGCACTTAACAGGATGGAAAAACAGGGCTTGTTGAATGGAAACAGCCTCCAGTTTCGGAGCAGCCTTCTGGTTTGCAATAGGTGTTTTGAAGGCCAGCAGAAGGGGTTAGAAGGGTTATAGAGGGACCCATACAAGAGAAACTAGAGCTGGTACCAGAGCAATAGGTGTTATTAAACATTTACCAGCCTTTAAAGCCCTGCTTTGCTAGAATAACTGGCTGGAGCACATGTTTCCGTGCGCACGGGAGGGAAATCTCCCTGCAGGACACAAGAGAAACAAGACTTCACATAATAACCTCTCTTCCACCAAAACCGCCCCACGCCACCTTAATCACCGCTCACAAACATAAACCTTCCGAGTACAAAGGGTCAAAGCCCCATTTTCCACCCAAAACTCTTTGTTCTCCGCTGGCAGAGCCGTGCCACGGGGGGTTCTCCGCTTCGGGATGCTCCCACTTTGCTTTGGAGGATGAGGGACACGCGGCCCTTTAGCCTGGAGCCCGTGACCACGACGGAGCCGGGCCAGGACCGGCGCCAAGGCTGCGCCTATAGGGTTTAAATATAAAATATGTCCCCGGGCTGCAGCCCCGCGCGGCACGTAGCATGCAATTAGCAGCTATTTTAGAAAGCGAGATGTAAACAAGGAGGTTTCTTTACCCTAACCCGCGAATAAATGCATAGAGGAAAATTAATACAGGAGAAGCTGAAGCAGGATGGCAGCGCCTGCCGTGATCCACTGCAGATGAGCGGTGTTTGGCTAAAAATCCACGTTCCAGGTGCTGGTTTTTGCCTTCCTCCACGATCCCCCTTTCCTCCAAGCACAGCACGGCCTTTGCTCTCCCAGGTAGACACAAATAATACCCCCCTGGACAGGATTGGGAAATAAATGCCCCGAAACGGCGCAGTTTGGGCGAGCTACGCTTGCATTTCTCACCTTTTCCCCCAGCGCCCCCGGCAAAGCTGGAGCCCCTACGAGCACCCAGAGAACCGCGAGGCCCCGGAGCAGGGAAAGCTGTCCCGGGCGGGAGGGCAAGCCAACATTATGGTTTTGGTATGAAAATTGCCGTTTCTGCGAACACAGGGCACAACCGCGGGTTTTCAAGCAGCCTCTGCACTGCCCCCAGGGCCCGCGGCTCCGGGCAGCTCCCAGCCTCTGGAATACGCTCCGTCTGGCTCCCGTGGGCTCCGCTGTGTTTTTACAGAGCTCTGGGCCGGGCCGTTTCAAGGCTCATTTAGAGCCACGTCCCAGGCTCGGTGCCGAATGTTAAAAATAGAGAGATTCCTCCCGGCCCGCGCGGACGAGGAAACGCGGCCGCGGGAAGCAGGTCTGCCGGGCTCGGAGCAACGCGGCGGGATCGGGGCTTCCACGGCGTTCCTGCTGCATGGGATAGGGAACGGAATTGGGGACAGCAGCGCCGTGCAAAGGGGCTCCATGCAAGGAAGGAGGCTCGAGCATTTGAGGATAAATACGGCGTTTTTAGGCTTGCTTCGCCCAGCCGATACCCTGGCGAGGGGACGGTGGTCACAGAGATGCAATTTGCCCCGTTTGCTTCCTGCAAGCCAGGAAGCCTCGTGGCTGAGCTCAGCATCTCGCAGCTCTGGCATTCCGGGATATCCCACCGGCCGAAACTCCTCCGCTCCCAACCAAATCCCGCAGAATCCCGCAGAAACACGGCACGGAGCCGTGGGGGGGATCGCAGGACGTGCAGACAGGGTGCGTGGGGGGTTATTAGGTTTTAAAATCCTTGGAGCCTTTCCGAGCAGCTCCCCTATCACTGCCCCGTGTCCCAGAGCCAGGGGAGACGTCGGAGCGACCTCCGAGCGCGGAGAAACCTCTGGCTGCTCCGGCCAAGTCCCAGCAGAACCAAACACAGGGTCAGCCCCGTTTTAAGAGCTCCTGAGCAAACAGCAGAGCCCAATAAAAGGCCCCAGCAGCCGTCAGGATCATTAATAAACAGCAGACTTTGAATCCGGTGGCCAAAGGGTGGCTCAGGTCTGTCTGTGCCACAGGTTACCTGCAACATCCGAGCAGCCGGGGGTGCCACCAACCTCCCAGCACCTGCAGGGACATTAAAGGAGCCAGGAGGCCACGGGGTGCCCTAGGTTCATGCTGGAAAACCATCTCACACGGGCACATCTGCAGCTTTTGGGGAGGAGTTGGTTTAGGGATCCAGCAGCGCTGCTTTTCCCCATAAAAAGCACTTGGGCACTGAGGCAGCAGCCGGTGTTAAGCCCATCATTAGTTCTGTGATTTAAAAGGGCTTGTGAACAAGCCTGTTTGAGCAAGAGAGAGCACAGCGAGACCTCCCATAGGGAGAGCACGTCTGGAAAGGAAGACTGAAACAGTAATAAATGTCTTAAATTGAAAATAAAAGCTTTATATGGAACACAAAGGGCTAGTTCAGGATTTCTAGGGCATTTGTGTCTGCTCAGACGTTCCAGACTTGCACATTTGACTTGGTGCAACACTGGAGACAGGGAAATGCAGCCGTTTTTGGCAAGTCAGGGGTGCAGGGCTTGGGCCATCGGTGCAGGAGAGCCCAATGACACCCCTTGGAGCTTCCTCAAGCATCACCGGCCACTTCAGAGGCAGAAACGAGGCCACTTCCCCCTCCGTTGCTGACAAAACGGGGACAGGGAAGGCCACCGACCCGCAGCAACGCAGAGAACACCCCAAGAGTCACTCATTTAGCAGCTGCAATTGAGGAAAATGCTGCCGTTCAGGTTGGCCAGGCTCTTGTACCCGATTTGGGCACAGGAATGTGGTGCGAAAACCCCCGTGCAGCCCCGTGCGAGGGAGGTTGTGGCTCCGCGTTTGGGCTCCGCTCGTCCCGCTCGGGGGTCTGCGAGTCCCAGGGCCACCTGCAGCCACCGGGACGGGGACAAACACTTGGGCAAGCTCCTTTCGGGGCCGGTCCCGCGCCGCGCGTTACCGTCCCTTGATTCACCAGGCTTAGTCATCCCCGCACCCGGTGCTGCCTCCCGCGTGAGCGGCTCCAACACGGTGAAACGGAGCCACTAAATCCCCACAAACCTGCAGCTCTCCAAGCCCGGAGCCCTCTGTGGCTTCCAGGTGCATTTCTGCCCTGCTTAGGAGCACTTTGAAGCCCCAGCTTCCAGCAGAAAGGCTGCAGATGCACCCCATGCCTGCTTCCAACCTCTCTAAAAGCCAGAAAAACACAAAAAACTCCTTGGAAAAAGTTTAGAATCACGTCTACCACGTGGGCAAAGCTCCCCGGGGCCCATGCTCACCTGAAGAAGCCCTTGCAGCCCTCGCAGGTCATGGCATTGAAGTGGAAGCCGGTGGCCTTGTCCCCGCAGACGCCGCAGATCCGGGGCACGTTGCGGTCGAAGTCGCCGCCGGCGTCGGGCAGCGACGTGCTGGCCGCCACGCTCTCCATGTCTGCGGAGAAGGGAGAGCCGGGCACCCGTTTACAGCCATTTGTAGCTTTATAGAAAGCAAATTAGACGCAAATAAAGTGGTTTCTTTCCTCCTTGGATTCAATATGACCAGAAAAAAAAGCTTCTGCTTTGCTCTGCAGCATAAAATGGGGTCTATAATCCACAATGGGGTCTATACAGAGCATTTATTTCGCTCATCTATCCTCATAAATCCCCAGTTCACCCTTCGTAAGCTCACAGCCACAAACGCACCTGGGAACATTGTTGTTTTCCTGTGCTTCAGCCGGAAGACACCTACAGCCACCCCTGATCCGCTGGTTCTTTCTCCTCCCTCTGCTCCTTCGCTTGTGCTCCCGAAAGCCCCGAAGGGCCCCGGTTTAGCCGGGGGGAAGCGGCGAAAGCGCCGGACGGAGGCGGCCGCTGCCCGGCAGCGCGAGCGAAACCTCCCGCGAGCAGCGGCAGGAAGTGGCAGCCGCATCAGCTCCCGTCAGCGAGGAAAATCCCGCACGCAAATTAAGGCAGCGCTCGTTAAGAGATCCTTAACGGGGACCGAAACGGGCTCCCGCTCCAGGTTACGTGCACTGGTGCTGCGGGGCAGTACATTAAAGTGGAGCTTGTAATAGACGTCCTGGCGTCCAGCACCCGCTGGCAGAAATCCAGCTGCTATTAGAAAGCCCCAATATCTAAAGCTACCAAAAGAACAAAAATCAGAAGCTTTCGAGGTGGCAAATCTCGGCAAAGACCACGTTATTTCTGGATAATACACCAGGCGGTTAGATAGGACTAGTTGCGTTTCTAGCTTGATTCACCCAGTGAGTTCTCAGCAGTTTCCCCATGTGCAGGGCAGAGTTTCTCTTTTTGTGCAACATTTTGTGCCATCCGGAGGACCAGGGAGCTACAGGCTCCGATGGCTTCTTGCAAGCAGCGTTTAAGACATCCATAAAGCTTAACTCCAATGACACATGTGCAAAGAACACATTTGTGGCTGGGTTCTTCTCGTTTTAGTAATAACTGCCTTCAAATGTAGCACAGCTGACACTCCTCATGTCTTTAGCTAAGTGATTTGAAAAATCCATCCAACCCCAGAGTATCCTTCAAGCAGGAAGAGCTGTTTGTACCTGTGTCCTGAAGATAAGCCATGTTCTGCTGGTGAACTTCCCAGGAGCTCAGGAGCTGGGACATGGAGCCACCTGCAAGCACAAGGACACGTGTGACAGGGCCCAAAGCTGCTCAGAACTCCCGAGGTGGGTGAGTTCCCACCGCGTGTCCAACTGCACGAGCAGGACACGGTTCCGCTCTGCGGGAGCTGCCGAGCTCCGAGCATCCCGCGTGTCCGGGTACCATCTGCCGGGTTCCCGCAATCCTGTGCCCACCGGCTCGTTGTTCAGGGAGCCGGAGGATCGCGGTGGCAGCGCCGCTGGGAGCAGGGAGAGGTGCAGCTTGTCCTTTAAAGTAATGTGATCCTACAGAATTGAATTGCGCCATTCCGTTGGTGGAGTGCTCGGAGCCCAACGGGATCATTGCAACACCAAAAGCCGAGGACCTGGAGCTCTTCCTTGCTCCGTTTCCATCCTTCAGCAGCTCCGCTCAGGGATGAGGAGCGGCACATGGACACCGGGATATGGCAGTATTGGGATAGATCCAGGGAAAGGGCTTTTTTAGGATGCTCTGCCTTTCCGGAGCATCTCGGGCTGCTGCCTGCTCTACCATCCCAAGGAAACCATGCACAGGGCAGGATGGGGAGAGTGGATGTCAGCTGGGACCAGCCAAGGTCCCTAGCAGAGCCCATTTCCACCCATTTCAACCCAAGACCGAGCAGGTGCCTCATCCTTGTGCTGGTAAAAAGCATTAGGAGAGGTGATCACCGAGGGTTCACGGATCAGCGCCGGGCTCGATTCCCGCAGGGACGATGCCGCCGCTCCGACCTGCCACCTCCGGCTTCTTGGAAAACGTTACTCAGCGCCGTGACGGCGGTGACGTCCGCGCGGGGTGGAGCGCGCCGGAGTTTCCCCTCCACCCCCGGGCACGGCTGCTCGTTCATCGCCCTGACATTTAACCTCTCAGCGGGGTAGAGGTGTTTGCACCAGGACCATGGACCTCCACGAGGCTCCAAAAACACAGCAATTTGGTCAGGGGTTGGAGCAAAACTGCTGGGTTTTGCCCCAGGGAAGCCCCAGGACAGACGCGTTTCCCCCCCATCTACTATTTTGTATCAGCTTGTTTCCACATACGTAAAACAGGCAGAAAAACTGCATTTCAGATGAGCCGCCCTGGCTTGTAGCGACTTGTCACCGTAACAAAACCGCAGCGGCCGCAACCCTGGCTGGGACCATCGTGTAGCTGTAATCAACAGTCGGAGCATCCGCTGGGATGCGGCGGCGGTGCGGGAGCTGCTCGGTCAAGGATGGGCTGCGTGGAAATCCTCACGTGCCCGGGCTGAACCGGAGCCGAGGGGGAAGCCGGGGCGGCGGGAGGAAACCGGCTGTCTGCTATGCAAAGAGCTGCAGCTGCGACGGAGCCGCGACGGAGGAAAACGGGAGCCCACGGACCCGGGAAGAGCCGGCTTGGGAAGCAGGGCGCACACGGAGAGCTGGGCAAAAGGCAGCTTTGATTAACTGGAAAAAGCTTTGGATAATTAGGAAAAGAGCAAGAGGAAGGGAAGCTCAACTATGTGGCTGTTGGGCATATGCACAAAACGGGGTAACAGCCCTTCGGATGAGACCTCCTTCCCCTGCTCCAGCCTGCAGGGAACCCAACGTGTCACCCCAAGGACAGGGTGATGGTCCCAACCGCAGCCCGGGGCGGCTGTGCGAGGACACGGGAGGGAGGCCGGGAATGCAAACGGGAACGTGGAGCGTCACCCGCACACCCAGGACACCAGACAGCGACCGCTCTCCGCACCCAGCACCGAGGCTGGGCTGCTTTTTGGGGTTGCTTTTAAGCCCCTATTAATCTGACTACCCCAACAAGCACCTGCCCTCGGAGGCAATATTCCATGGAAGCGTTTTCCTCGTGCGTTTGCTCCTGCCGACTCGCGCGCTCGTGCAACCCCCACGCACAGCTCCGAGACTTGGCAGAGGGGAAAAGGGATTCCGAGACGCGCGCGGTGCCGTCGGACCCCGTCACGTCGGCACAGGTTTAGTTACACAGAGGAGCGAGATTGCAGCCAAAGCTCAAAAGCTGCAAGAAAGGGAGTTCGTATTTCAACTGCTGCCAGCGGATTCAGGCCTTGCCAGACTGAAATTTGGCAGAGAAATTAAGTTCCGGGGGGCTTTTTCTTTCATTTTGGGGTCAAGGTAAAGAATCATCAACTTCCCAGAAGCCAAATAGTGACCTTTAATAACTAGGAGGAGGGCTCAGCCTTTGGCGTTTCAAGAGTAACGTCATTAAGACACAAAATAAGCCCGTACGCATTGTGAAGGCGCTCGCCAAGTTCTCAACAGCTCCGTTTCCCCCAACAAAAGGCATTTTTGGGGGCGAAGGCGGCTGCCAACCAAAACAACCGTCACCGACAGGGCCCGAAAGGAAGCGGCTGCTTCCAGGAGTCGGAGCGGATCCGTGCCCGAGCCTTGCAGAGACCCTCTTGCTCACATGGAAGTTTTCCCACTTTCCCGGCGCTCCGCTAGCGCCGCTTGGCACGGCCGCCCGCCTTTCCCGAGCCTTTTGGCAGCACAAATCGGGCTGTTCACAAGGTCTAGTTGCGGCACGCGAGCAGCCTCATCTATTTAAAGAAGAAACAAAAAGGCAATTAAATCATTTCCTTCTGTAGCTCTAGGGAGCCCTGTTATTCCGTGAGATTTATTAGGCAGCTGATTGACGGCTGCGGCTCCGTGTAGAGATGCAGCCGGTGAAGTCCCACGTGCTGCCGCGTTGCAGCAACCACAGGAGCCATAAATATTAGTTGGAAGGATGTCGAGACCCACCACCCCGGTGCAAGGAGCAGGATGCTGATCTCGTTATGGCGCACATCTCCGTCTTGCTCCGGACACCTTGTGCGGATTCAAGAGCGGAGCGAGCCCAAGGGCGCGCGGAACTCGATTAAGGTGCTCCCCGCTAACGCGGTTAGGAGCAAACGTTGGAACAGCCGCAGCCTCCGGGAAAAGCTACAGGAACAGCAGCAAGGAGACCGGATCACCTCCTCACTGCCGACATCCAAAACACGTCAAACCAGAGAGGGAAGAGAGGTCAGGACGGTCCCCAAATACCTGGGGCTCCAGGCTCCAACCTGCCCGTGGATCAAGGATCAGACACAGCGATATTGATAGAGCTCTTGGCTCTGTAAGGAATATCGCTCTCCCGAGGTTTTGGGGAGAAATCTGCACCAGGAGACCTTGCAGGGAGCTCTAACATCACGTCCTCATGCACACACACAGGGCAGTCCCAGGATCTCCAATGTGTCTTCTCCTGCCTCACCTTGCACCCACCTTGGGCACCAAACAAGCCGGAGCGGTCGGATACTCATGGCTGATGTATCCCATATGGAAAACTCAGGAGAAGCCACTAAACTGGGTGCACAGCAGGGACAAGGGACAGCCAGACACGATCATCTCCATGCAACCCCTGTCAACAGCTTTGCTGGAGGCAAAGAAACCTCCGAGCTGCTTTCCGAGCTCCAGGAGATCTCACATGACAGTTAGGCAACAAATCCTTCCGCATGGAGGTAAGAGAGGAAAATATTTCTAAGCGCCGTTCCCCTGAATGGAAGGAATGAAGTAAACAGATCTCCAGATTACAGCTTGGGCACGGCATCAAAAATACCTCAAAGCTTTGTGCTCGAGTGGTACGTGTTGTCATCAGGGCCACGAATCCTGGCTGAATCCACGAGCCCAGGAGGACACTGGGCACCACGTCCATGGTGGCTGCCCTACCTTAATGTGCCTTTTTAAAAAAAAATAAATAAATAAGCAGCTTGTCCTTCCTCCAACTCCTCTTCCTCAAGAGGATTAGAGCACATGGCCGCATGATGGAGGCTGGCAGAGCTTCTCCTTCTTCCCTGTGCAGTGGCTTAGACAAATATCCG